TCGTTCATCCGGTCACGTTTCGCCTTCTTAGAAAAGCGGTATTTCAAATTCAACACCACACTCGCTGAGTTTCTGGAGAATTTTTTTACCGAACGTATACTTCCTCAAATCTGATGCATGTTTCACAACATGATCCACGACATGCGTGAACCATGATTGTTGGCCAGGTCTTCGATCCGCAAGTACATCCATCGACACATTGATCAGTGTTTGCACAACATAATTACCATACTGATTGAAAAGCATCACATCGAGCGCATCACGTCCCCTACTGAAACCCAAAAAAAAAGCATCATTTAGTGCTCAGGCTGTTGATTTCGAGCACCTGGGATAAGTTCCAGCTGGTATATATATACCAAGATCGCCTGGGCTATCACTGTGGGTGTCCCATGTTAGTGATATTACTGAAAAAGTATTCCCACATGCCGGGTACAGCTATGCCAAGACCCACTGAATACCTCCAAATTAATACCCACCATCTATTCGATGTATGTGCGTCACATCTTCAAGGGATCACCTCGAGTGGTCGTCTACTTTCTCGCCGACACCATTCACTAGTGCGCTACGTCCATCGTTTATCAACAAGATTAGCAACATGCTTTGCCCATCGGATTTTATTCTCTCGCCTGGTCGTAATGATATCCTGCACATCGCTCATCTGACCGAAAGTTCTATTGCTTATGTAGAAATATGTCAAGCATACTTCGCTCCATCACTTTCTCCATCACAGCTAGAGTTTACACTTCAACTTTTTTCAGTGGTTGCGCTGCGCATCCATATCTCATTGTCCTACTGTGTGCAAGCGAATAAAAATATAGTGAGTAGTTAGGGATATTTCAGTTCATTAATTCGCATACCATCAGCCAGAAAGAGCCCTATGCACCAGCTTAGCTATATAAATGCGCCAACAGAATGACCCTCGTTTTAATCTTCCTCTTCTCTCTCTCCCACTTGTCATTCACTACGTCTCACATCCGTACGTCAAACTGCTCCACCATCAGCTTGCTTCTAAGCAACCCTCGAAAGTGGGAGCCGTCAACGGTTTTGTCTTAGGGGTTTCTGCTATTGGCATTTGTTACCACTCAAGCTACTTTTAGGTGATTTTACATTTCACATAGAGCGAATACGAAAGGGATTTTGAATTTCGACGTCGCGGCTGTCAACATAGTCAAAGTTATGTTGGCACAATTCAAAAAAAAAAAAAAAGAAAATGATAAGCTCACTTGTCACTTTCGTAGCCATCAATAATCTCTGTTACCAGGGAGTTAAGCAATGCCGGCGAAGCATGGGACAGTGCCGCCTGAACGCTATACGACCCAAATTTATCCTGCGCCAACAGCAGTACATTGCGTCTGCAATGAAAAATTGTACTGCCCAGAAAAAAAAAACATATTTAATATATTCATTAAAGTATCAGGCACCTAGATGAAGAATATCCCTTTGGCCCGGATGTGGTGTTGAACAGGAACGCATACAATTTCGTGGACCGAAATATTCCTATTTATCTCCTTATTCACTTGAATATTTAGGCAGCAGTATGTTATCGACATCCGTTGTCATGTCACTGATGCAGCTGGTAAACTCCACTCAACTCGAAGGCACGCTCCCCGAATCCATGTGATACCTTACTAGCGTACAAGGAGTCTTTCCACCTCACTGGTGGCCTCCCTAATGTTCGGTTGACCATGCACGGGTACCATTCCATTATCCGCTTTTATCCATGTATTATCTGACATCCGCGCCACATGAACAGCCCATCTCTTCTTGCTGACGTACACTGCTTTGATAATGTTTTTCACGCCAGATCTAGCTCGGCTCGGTCTACCTTATTTTGTGATTAATCCTTGTGATTATTAATCTTTATTCTCCCATAAGCTTCAGCAACATACTCCCAAAGTTTTATTAAAAAGACGCAAATTTTTCCGATCACTTGTGATAGTTATGCTTCCAAGAATTTCACTAGTCATGCGGCAAGAATGAGAGATAACAGATGGACTAAGAGGACTCGTAAATGATACCCACACAATGTTTAATGAGCAGAAATAAGACTACCACTGTAATGGAAGGTCCCGCTTGTACGAAGAAGCCCAAAATAAAGAAGAATGGAGAAGTTGCAGCTAGATCAGTGGCGAGAAAGAATGTCAGACGATGGAATAACAGCTGATTAAAATATCAAAATAAAGGATCTTTGTTTAAAACAAAATATGCATTGGAATATTAGCACGGAGAAATAACTGATATGAGCGGTGAAACGACTGTAATAATCCAGCTCCTTTCTTCGGAAGAATGAAGGAAAAATGGCGAAATAGGTGCTAAGTTCTTGATTAGCAAAAAAAACCCCCATCGGGTGATGCTGTTTCAGCTATAGCAACTATACAGAAACTGTTCGTCATGTCCAGAATTCGAAAAAGCGCTACGGTAGCCGCAATCGACCAAAATGTCAAAAAAAAAAAAAATGTGGGACACAAACACACATACACACACATACATACACAGACATACACACACAGACAACCCCGTGACAATATACGTTTTATACTGCTGTTACACAGCATAAAACGCATAATAAATGAATCAGTGGCTTTGCACCATGCCCATTCCTATTCAGCACCACAATAATTTGCAGCCAAGAACATACAGGATTGCCTGTTCGATGATGTAATCGCAAGCCTGAGGGTAGAAGCCACATTTTAGTATACGTTGCACAGCATAATTGGCGAATGGATGACAAATAAAATCGTCGCAATTTTCTGTCAAACGATTAACGATTGCATTGCTAAGACGTCTTGCCATGGCAGCCTCACGCTGCACCGTAGAATTTAAAAACACCAATTCCAATTTCTGAAATCCAACAAAAAAAATTTTTTTCTTGCATTTTGATATTTTCAACCTGTTCTAAAGTAGTAGGAATACCAAGACCAGTGTGGATAAACCATGCGACATATACTTTTTACTTGTACAACATATTTTCTCCCTGTATACATTTGTATTTTAAATCTTAATACCATAATCGATGCATTGACATGGAGCAGTTGTAGCGTTAAATAAGAATACAAGCGAGTTAATGAATCGAAACATTCCTATTCCTTTGATTTCTATATCTTATTTATATATCTTATTTTTATATCTTATTTTTATCCTTTGATTTTTATATCTTATTTTTATCCTTTGATTTTTATATCTTATTTTTATCCTTTTATTTTTATATCTTATTTTTACCCTTTGATTTTTATATCTTATTTTTATCCTTTGATTTTTATATCTTATTTTTATGTATCTTATTTATAACATCTTATTTACATCTCACTTATATTATTCCTATACTGTTCAGCTCATGTTAATGATGTCATAGTGTTGCTCTCACAGTGCTGCAGGGCTGAAATGCTGTTTGTGCGCCATCTGTTCGGGAGCCGACCGAGAGGCCGATTATTTCAGGTGTAGGAAACCTCTGGAGAAACGTGGGCCTGATTTACATACTCGCAATCGGATCGTTAATAGTATGAATGGTCTCAAAGTATTTTCCAGACTGTCACCTGTTAGCCCCGTGCGTATTTTAGTTTTATTAATTTTCATGAGAATGCAAAGGCATGGACCACCACAAACCCTCATTTGTCTAATTAGGCACCACATTCCAATTCCCTCCGCGGTCTAGATTAAACCCGACCCCACCCGTAGCTTAATTTCTTGCCCGTATTACTCGCTAATACGAAACGTTTACCGGTTGCGGGCAATGCAAGCATCAAGCCGTGCCATCCTGGTTTTATTTTCTCTTACTCTGTACCAACGTAACATAAGTAATAAGAATCAACTTTTTACGCTAAACAACCACCGTACGAAGGGACGTAGCCCGAAATGTACGCTAGCCAAAAGTCCAACTTCGCTAGTGAGATAACTAATCCCACTACAATTCGTTTAATCACTTGAACTGTAAATTGGTACTGACAAAGGCTAGAAAGTCAAAACCACCATCGTTTCTGAGTAATCCACAAAAGAAAGGGTTACCGACAGCTTGTCAGTGGTATGTTGCTTTTAGCATGGACCACCATTTGAGTTACTTTGGAGAATTTGCGCTTCTCACGAGGGGCAACACAGGGAGATTTCTGGTTCCTGATGGAAATAAAAACTCAAGTAATCTGTTAACTCAACTCTGAAAATCATCAACAGCAAACTAATTACTCCCAGCTGATATTGTATTGATTCGATCAGAGTACCAAAAAGCGCAGGGAATGGGGGAGGGGAGTGAATGCGGGGGTACTGATGATGAGGTAAAAGTGCGTTACAGCGGAACAACAAGAACTGATAAAGGCACTGGAACTAACCTCCCATGCAGCTTGCACAACCCGGCAACCAAATTTGTTCTCGATAACATACTTGAAATTCGACGTAGATCGTGTAAATGCCAACACAATAAACTCAATTTTTGCTGCCGGAAAAAGTTCGACTATTTTCTGCAAATATAAGTGATCAGGTAAAAACGAACTATTCTGAAGGCCTCTGAGGAAGCCTGGTGCATAATATATACATATATATATATATATATATACATATATATATATATACATATATATGTATATATATCGCTTGCTGGCAAAGCTATCGATGGCTTTCTCTTTCGAGAGTTGCTTAGAAGCAAACTGATGGCGGATCTGATTCCCGGTATTTGCCGGTATCAATTTACTATCGAAACGAATTGTAAATATCTTCTAAATTTCTTATTTCTTTAAAATTCTTTATAATAAATAATACGCTTAATTTCTTTTGTTAATTTTTGGCACTTTTTCCCATTCTTACTGCAAACCGCCCCTGTACCCCTCCCTAATTTCTAATTAAGTTTTATACAAAAAGAGTTGGTGCGCGTATTTCTCATATGAAAATTAACAGCTGTATTGTATCCAGCTGGACACAAAAGAATAAATACGGTAAGGCGCCTCCTCTTAGGCACAGGTGTCCG